AAGATGTTAATAAGCATCTTGATACCAGTAACCTAAAGCCCCAAATGACAGCAGAGCAAAGAATGTCTGCTCAAGAATAAGAGAGTAAAAAGGTAGCCTATTTCCAACTTTAGACTGCTTGTGATGTTCTCTTCACTCCATCTTACTTCAGATGCAGCTCCTGAACAAATTAACTGCACAGACTAAGTTCTTAGATTATAAAAAAAAAAAAAAAAAAAAAAAAAAAAGAAGTACCTCACATCAAGGTAAGGTATTTTTTTGCTTTACTTTCTTCCCCCCCTGCTTTTCAAAATATATCAGTTGCTCTAAAAAGAGACATTCTTTCCCTATACACATATCATTCAGACCTTTAAACAATCACAGCTGTAACATCACACAGAAGGAGTTGTCTGCCAAGGATCATTGAGCTGTTTTAGGACAGTAATAAAAGGCCTGAACACACTATAAAATCCCACGTCGATATTAATATTTCCTGAAAATCTAATCAATTAAAGACAACAGGGATCTTACAGCCTTTTATATTTTACAAAACAGTGTAGGACAAAAGAGAGAGAACTCTACAATGACAGCTCCATAAGTTCACAATAATATCCAGCTATGATATTCTCTGTCTTACCTTGGCATCCTGTTTAAATTTCTGAAGAATTTTTTCCTTTTTCCTGATCCATACATTACGTAACAGAAGATCCCCCCAAAAAAACATGAGTTAAAATTCAAGTTTCAGTCCAAATGCAACTGAAGTAACAGAGAGAATGCCTCTGAAGTAAATAACATTTGGTTCTTTGATTTGAACCTCAATCTGGATCGATTTATTAACTGTAAGTAATGATCAAATGGTATCTGCCAAATATCCATTCTTCTCCTCTCTCCTTCTTGATATATTTTGTCAGTACCTTTGTGATGAAGAACTCCAAATGTGTTTATCAACACTTACAGAACAAAATTTGGCACTATTAGGAAACCCCTTCTGTTGGAAATTCTTTTTTTAATCTCAGTGAAAATACCATTTCTCCACATGATTCATCAGACAGCAGAGCTGTTCAGGGTACACACACACACAGAATATTTCATGAGGCCTAGATGTGCATTACTTATTGGTATAATATGGCTGTTGTTTGTTAAACTAAAATCTTCACAGATATTTTTAATCCTTTCATCAGTTTGTTCTATTTAACTTTAATCTCTTCTGAAATCGCTCAAAAGTAGATTTTTCAGGACAGAGATCATCTTTTTCTAGTGTGGCTACAGTATCTGGAGCAGTGAGTGTCAACTACTTGAAAAGAATTTCTGGCTATGGCCCTCCAGAGCAATAATCATTTTTTTTCACCTGTAAAATCCTCCAATATTGGTATACCAGCATATTTTTATAATTTCTCACACATACACACATTTCTTTATTTCACATGAAGCTCAAATAAATCCCTGTTGCTACTAATGGAATTAAAGACGTTCTAGCTCAGAGGTAATCTTGCACCCGAAGCACTGCCTATTTAAAATACTTGAAATGCAATTTGGAGATGAAATTTTTCCATTCAATTTCCCGTTCCACGGAGAAGGAAATTTAGCAAAATCATAGATGGTGTTGTAAGGGCCATGGCTGAAGTGAACAGGAAACAACCCCTGCCCCATATAGAGCATTATCCAGACACAGCCAGCCTGTGACACGTGGATAATTAGAGAAATTGGAGGCTCTGGCCCAGAGACCATGTGTTCCACAGCAAATCCTGGTTCCTTCACTCTCTCTTTCGTGGATATGTGTAAATCATGAAAGTGTATGTGTTTTCCTTGCATATAACATATCAGTTTGGGGTTCTTTTTTCCAATATTGGCATTGACTGAATTCACAGATCAAATAACAGAAAAATCCATAGCTCAAGATCTTTTCAGACCAATTGACTTGCAAGTCAGAAAATGTATAAGGAGATCAAAAGACCAGCTTTTACATCTCACAGGTATCTTATATGATGGGGTTTTTACCCCATAAATACAGGGCATTAGATATTTCTTTTGATTTTTTCCTTGCTAAATAAATAAATAAATAAACAAATAAAACTGACAACATAAAATGTCTAATGTAGAAGTCCAAGTCAGAAGGAAGAAATCCACTCACCAACTTCCAAGCAAAAAAAAAATTCTACTGGTTTTACTCCAACACGGGGAAGCGAGCATCAAATAAACCAAGTTCATAACAGAATTATAAAAATAATTCTGAAAATATTAGGGCTGTCACTGAGATGCTACTTGGCTCCATTACCTGCCCTTGTTGCTGAAGCACAACAGTAACCCCAGACACACGGAACGGGAGCACGGAAGCAATCATTCTGAAAAAGACTTCTGTGTGATAGGGAAAAACAAATTAGGCCTGAGTTTCCATAGTGATACAGCAACAAAGGGCTGCTGCAATTTCCAGCTGTCTGTACTGAGACAGTAACAGAGCAAAGGGACCACAGTCCCTTCTCTGTAAGTTGGGATTAGCGTGCTCAGAATTGTCCATTAAATTTTAGTTCCGCGCTATAAAGAAAATATTGAAGGAAACTGGAAGAGGTAGAATAATAGTAATAATAAAAACAAGAAGTTCTGCAAGAAGCAAAATTACTCAATGCTGTGGATTTGGATATCATGGTTGGATTCTCTGGTATCTTAAAAATGCAAATTCCAATGAGTCCTTTCTCCTATTCATCTCCTCTGTGGACTCTCTTGATGTTTAATAAGAAATGATCTCATGCTATAGCCTGCCTGCCAGTGGGAACACTAATGGCTCTCCTGCCCATCTGGCAGCCTGTTTTCCCGAAACTTACAGGAATTCCTGTCCAGTGGTGCTGAAACTGGCCAAGAGTTAAGAAGTTATTGAGGGGGAAAAGAGAGGAGAGAGATCAGCAGCCATACAAAAACCCAGGCTAGCAAGTAGACAGTGTGATCATATAAGCTTTGCGTCCTTGGGAAACCAGGCTAATTATCAAAGGGCTTGAAAGATTCACTTATGATGAAAGTCCAAAAGCCCCAAAGCAGAAAAATACTTAAAAGGTAAAGTGGTCTATTGGATATAGGGCTGAAAGAACCAAACATGATAGCTAGGTTGAGACACAAATGATGAGGAATGTTATAATTTACAGAAATATAAATGTTAGCCAAGGATGATGAGGATTTATTTGTACCAAGAGGAGTTATTACTAAGCAGAATTGCAACTGGGAACCGTGGGATTAAATAAAGGAAAGCTTTAGGCTAAAAATCAAGCAACACTGTAAGAGAGAGGAGTCTATAAAAGAGTTTTGAGACATAGGAAATGGAGGCTCCATGCCTTAAGAAAATTAAAACCAGAACGTAAAAAAAACACCTGTTCTCTACAGAATGATAATGTGTGGACAGTAAGATTGGCAGGACTGTCTAATAGGTCTTTGTTTTTGTTTCTCACTAGATTAATAACCCAAAATACTGCACTAATAGACAATATATAAAACAAATAAAAGTAGCTGCTCTTTGTGAGTTCTCATCCAAATGACTGAAACCAGACCTAGTACATATAACTGTATGAATGTGCCTTCCTCACACAATACCTATATGGTACATAAAAAATAAATACAATATTATACGGGTAATGATTTATAGTTACCAAAATATCTACTTTTACACATACAGTGATTGAAGTTACTTGTGTATTAGTGCAATATTTTTAAGCAATACCTACTAGTTCTAGTTTCCATGTTATTGTTTTCTGGTAAAACATAAAATAAAATAATCGAAATGCAGAAAACAGATTACATAGTATGTTTGATGTAGCAACTTCGAACTTTCATTTAATATAGCTGAGCTGTAATGACTAATACTGCCCATGGCCTCTAGTACAAAGGCCTAAAAAGGGTTCCAGACCAGATTACGTCCATGCAGGTCTCATTTTAACGGAAATTGGAGAGATGGGGAAAAGATTATAGGAGCACACATTATAAAAACAGACCTCACAAGTCAAACTTAATAGTGGAACCATTCTCTTTCATGTAGACAAGCATGAAAACAAATATCCTGTAAGCCCCAGATATATATTGTATCTTTCTACCCGATCTCTTTGCCTCCTTGAGACAGATTCCCATTCATCTCATGACTATATAATTTGATCACAGTTGAGTAAGGCACAGCAGGGGAAAGGGTCTGTCTGATAAAGTATCAGGCTCCAGGAAGACAGATAAACAATTTCATGATTTCCAGTTGTAACAGGAATGGTACAGTGGTGGATATTAAGATATTAGTCTCGTAGGAATACAAATATCAACCTTCTGCAGTTTTTTTTCTCTTACTAAATATGTTTTATTTCCATTAAGTAAAAATGACAGATTGATGCTGATAAACTAAGGCAGGCCACCAAAATAAAATGCAAGGTGCATGCAAAACATGAAATTAAATGCTTTCTGGTTTGTCAGTGGGAAAGTTTGTATAAAACTTTTACAAGTATGCAAGTGAAAAAATAGAGCAAGGAAGTTTCTTCCTCGTGGGGCATTTTTACTGCAAAGAAACATTATTTAAAACAGTTGCCTATCAAACTGAGTTGACTCAGATTTAAACCTCCTTTCACAAGGGACACATTGGCAAGCAACTCCTCTGCTACAAGTCACTGGAGAATGCCTGTTTGCAAAGCTACCTCATTGTTCTACATGTAATAAATGAAGGCTTGAGTGACAATGTTTGAACAGCTATGATGGACTTCTTTTCCATATATTAACACACACATTTGCTTGGAATATAAAACCACAAATATATAGCAGCCATTATTAAGACAAGTTCTATTAGATGGTAAACATCATAATATCTTTGCAATTACCTGCTGTTCTGGATAGCTGAGAAGCATGGTCATACCTGCTTTTATTTATAAAATTTCAAAGAACAAAAAGACATATTTACAGCAATTTTTAGTTCCAGACCCTAGATGTTCTCTTTTTCATTTTAGAAAATATATTCTGGAGTAAGCCATTTTTAAAGCTATCAAACCATCTAATTTAGTGGCACTTACCTGTGATTCCTTCACGTTTTCCACAGTGAAGTTGAACCAGACTCGAAAGCGTGGGTTGCAGGTGTCTGGTCTGATGAACAGGTCATACTCAAACTCTGTGACATGGTCCACCCTTCCAAGGTTCCCTACCAGGAACATATGAGAAAGAATGCATTTTAATGAATCAACTCCCCAGGAACTACACTGAGAAAAGTTTTTAAAATTTCTACCTCTGTTGGTTAAAATATACAAGTATAATAAGCCCTACAACAGTTCATAATTATTTTTAAAAGGGCTAATCATAGTCAAAAAATAAAACATATACCAAAAAGAAGACAACATGTATTTTTATTATTCAATCCAATTGGTCTTTTGCCTCCTCTTACCTGACTAAAGGGAAAGCATCCCTTTCCCCCCACAGATGGGCCAGCCTTCCTTTCCTTTTTGATTCAAAAACCATCTCAACACTTTTCCTTTAACTAACACCTCTTTCCAAAGACATAAAGAGATTTTGCCTCAGCCTGTTCCTAGTGAATTTCATGGAATAATATTTTTTAAATATAGTCAGAGCAACATTGTCCCCTATGGCATTATTCAGCAGGCAACCACCCTGGCTATAGAAATAAAGTTCAGCACTGGGAAAACTCACTAAGTGCTTTTAAATTGCTAAAATGGCATTTTTCCTTTGAAGCGTGCCAAGATTTTTAGAGACAGGGTTTAGACTGTCCAATTCATTTACACACTACAAAAATAAGACTTTACATTTTCCTGATTCAATCCAGAATTCATCTCACCAGGTCTTGTAAGACAGGGCCCTGCTCTAGCTCACATGCTAAATTACATTTACTTAAAAAAAAAAAAAAATAGCACTGAAACATGGGTTACAAGTATATTTTTGGGGTTAGATATATTTTTGGGTTGGATATATATTGTTGCGTTCTTATTTATAAATATTAATTATTATTCATAAACATTTATAAACACTCATTTATAAACACTTATTTATAAACACTTATTTATAAAGCTATTTAAGCTAAACAATTCCCTCCTCAGCAAGTCCCATTGCAGTCAATAGGACTGTTCTCTGCTAACACAGAAATCTGCTGTTTCAGGCTGGAAAAGAAGCATGGAAAAACATTTTTATCTCTCTTCATCAATATATTTCCAGGATTTCTTCCTTATCCTAAGTCATTTCTAGCACTACTAATGGAACATTTTTAATCTTCCCTATTTTTAATGTTATCCTCTACTTTCCTACCCACATCCCTCTTTTCAGAAGAAAATTCTCTCCACTGCTTCCCTCAGCAGAGACCCACTCCACGCTCACAATCTGTTCCCGAGCGCTCGCCTCGAGGAGACACTTGGCATTGGAAATATTTGAGAAAACAGCTCTATTGTACAGCCAGATATCTGCCAAATCTGCCAAATATCAGGAATGTCACCTGCCATCCCGGGTGTCGGCAGTGGGGCTGCAGACCGAGCTCCCTGAGCCCATTCCAGCCTGTTCCCGACGGTCCCGGCCGGCTCCATGATGGTTGCACCTCACGGCCCAGCCCGGCCCCTCAGCTGAGGTGGAGGTGCCTCGGTGAAAATGTGCTTAAAAAAGGCAAAGCCCACACAGAGGAGTGAGGGAGGCTGAGAAGGAGGAGGTCGAGCAGGATGAGTGGGGTGGTCTGTGTCCTGTGGGGAGAGGCTGGAGCAGGTGGATGTCTCCTGAAGGAGCAGTGGCTCACAGAAGAGCTCAGGCTGGAGTGGGCGCTCCTGAAGGCACCACGGGCTGTGGGAAGGGAAGGGCCCGGGATGGGGCAGGGGGGCCACATGAGGAGGGAGCAGCAGCAGAGCACTGACCGCAGCCCCCATCCCCTTGCCCTGCTCTGTGTGTGTGGGGTGAAGTCGATCCTGGGAAACAGGGAAGGATGGGGAGAAAGGCCTTGTTCTAGTTTTTCTTTGTTTCTTACTATCCAAACCTGTTTTAACCAGCAATAAATTAGTTTCCCCCAGTGGAGCCTGTTTTGCCTGTGAAGGCTGCTGGTGAGTGATCTCCCTGTCTGTATTCAACCCAAGAGTTTTTTCACCTTATTTTCTCACCCCTGTCCTGTTGAGAAGTGTGGATGAGAGTGCTGGATGGGCATCAAGCAGCTGGCCAAGGCCAACCCACCACATCTCCTGGCTTTGGGTGAAGTCCTTGACACAAATGAGCACACTTTCTGCCACAGGGGTCAAACCCATCACTTACTGATGACAAAAGAACTCGAATCTTAACATAAACTACAATTCCCTACGGATCATTATCCCAAGTAAATAAGAATAGCAAAACCAAACTATTGCACTGTAATACCTTTAAATAAAGGACTTTGTTTTTCTGTATTTTTCATTAAATGTCATGACACAGTTAGGATAATAATATTCCTTGGATATTTTAAGTGGTCCAAGCTGTTCATCCCAAAAGGTTGGGATGAACAGTTGCCTCACAGGTCACAGTTTCAGCTCTCTCTAGACAAAGCTTGGTGTGTGGATGCCCAGAGTTACTGCAGCTGTGCATGGGATCCTGTTAGATCCTCTAAAGTTGAGGAGCAGGCTGGATGAACACAGATTGTTGACCAGGTCCATGTACACTATGTATACATCATTCCCAGTGATCCCAGCAATTCCAGATACAGATTAAGTTATCTGCAGCACCGACCAGAGGTGCAAATTTTGATTGAATTACTTCCAAAGAAGGACACAGAAGCAATTAAATTCATATTTTAAGTTCAAAGACCATTAAAACCTTGTACTGCAAGGCATAGGAAACTAAAAGATTATTAAGCAAATAATTAAAACAGAGAAAAAGGAGACCTTGATTTTGACCTATTGCACATTTCAGTTTCTTTTTTCAACACCAAACTGATCTGAATTGTATGAGGGACAGACGTCCCACTCAGAAGTACTTTATGGAATCTACAGGATCCTTAAATCAGCAGAGGAGAGTTGTACCAATGTCAGTGAAATCACTGATGGTGAAGGGCTGGTGTGCTGGAATCACTGCCATCCAGTCTGCTCTGGAAGTACTATGTACCCATCTCAAATCCAGCAGTGTCTGTAACAGTTTAATCACTGTGTGCTCGGTTCTCCAGGAGACCCAACATTGCTTCCTTTCTTGATTCAAATACTCCCTTCCCTCCTAAATCAGCATTTTTTGCTTTTGCAAGTTGCATCTCACTTTATTACTTTTTTGCCTGCAGAGCTGTCTCTTCCCAGGCTCCCTCATAGCACACATCAGCTGCCATTGTCACCTGCAGCCATTTGCAGTTCAGTGTCATTTGAACATTTCATTAGCCCACTATTTCTTCTCTGCCTTCCAGATGCTAAATAGGCTGGACTGAACACTAATGCCTTCGGTAACTAATTCAACAAGTTCCTCGTGCTCAATAGACTATTGTTTGTAATATCACAGCCTTTGCTCACAATCTGTCAGCCTAATTTCAACCCATGTAGCAATGTCATTAAACAAGACGGCAGTTTTGGTACAAAGAAGCCTGGAACTGTAGGAACAAAACACCTCCTCGCTTTAAGAGATGCTTTGTAGAAAACTGATAACGCCACTGAAAAACATTTTTCAGTGTCCAGGAGAGGATATAAACTTCCCAATGTTAATCTCACAAACAAACTGAACAGTTTTATGTATTGCCTTCACATTGCTGCAGTCATGGGAAATAGATTTATTCTGATGAATGAGAATTATATTCCAGTACCTCAGGTAACACAGTGAAGACCATCAGAAACCATGAAACAGGAATTAAAACATTGATTACAGCATTCCATTTAGACATTAAACCATTATAATAACTTTAACATTGAAAATAAACATTTTTTTTTCCTTAAGTGCAAAGCACTTCTAACCTGATTTTTTTTTTCTTAATGTCTCTATTAGGTTCCTTAAAACTTCTCTGTGTCACAGGAGTCTCTGTGTGATTATGCAATACACAATCTGCTTTGCAATACCTGTGGCAAACAGTTTCTGTGCTGAAATGATGACAAATATAAGAGAGAACCAGATAGCACCAATTTTCAGTAATAGTTTTCAGTCCTGATACAACTTCTGTAAGACCCTTTGCATGCAGTTTTTATTCAGTGTACGTTTCTAGTCTGGTAGTTTGTGATATCAGTAAGAGAGTCTGTCAACAACCACACTGGTTAAGTATGTTCTTTTGAAATCAAAGAAAAAGTCTCACATTACTCAGCTTTGCTTTACTTCACTTTGACTTCATGTCCACATGAACTCATCACCACTCCATTCAATAAACCCAGAAGTTGTATATACAAGATTATACAACATTTTTCAAAGCCTCGTCACTCCATAATTTTTGATAAGCATTATAGTTGGGGGTTAACATTATAAAACATTAGATATTAATAATGTTATTTAAGGTACATGTAAGATTAAAGAACTGACTGAGTAACGTGACTTGCAAGGGAAAAAAGCCCAACAACATTATGAGCAGTAAAATCTGAACTGATTGGCATTCTAAACAACTCTTGTTTACTTTTTTTTTAATAGGTTGAATGCACATCTGGTTGTCAAATGGCTTTCTGACTATATCTTAAAAGTAGAACAAACAATTTATTAGGGGAGCCAGCACTTTACAAAACATTATGTATTTCATCTCCTATGCACTCTGAAATTAGTTGCAGGGGCTTTTTCTATTATTATTTTACTTTACAGAAATACTGCTACAGATCTTTTTAAACTTATGGGAAGATGTGAGCAAATCAAATTCCCAAACGTCTATAAACTGACTTTCACTCAGCCTTGGGGTTTGTTTTTAAGACACGCTCAATTTTCAGTCACAGTTCTGTTCAATACTCTTAGCATACTGAGAAAAGAGGAGACATACTTTCCTTTAATCATTCAAGCTGAAATTCTTAATTATATTTGCTTAAATTGCTTTACAGAGTAATGTTTAGTGCAATACCCTGAAAATGTGAATAGTGAAAGGGGTCAATAGCATGTTTCAAGTTTCTTTAAAAGTCAGAAAAAAGCCCAATGATACTATTTTATTAATCATGCAACATACACTTAGTCCTCATAAAATATTAATGTGTATTGCTTCCTACATCAATAAAAAGTGTACTTTACACAAAGAAAGAAAACCTGCTTAAGAAA